CCCCCCCCCCCCACCCCCAATGTCACCAGCAGCAAACAACACACAAAAAACATTAAGATAAAAAAATAAAAACCAAACACAATTAGCTTTTCAGGTTTTAAAAAAAAAAGTAAAAAAAAAAAAGTAAACTGTCACCTGGAGGAAGAAGATTCATTTAAAAGAAAGCAAATTATATATATATAAATATCTATAAATATCTATAAATACGTTTTAAAGAAAAAAAAACTTTGTAAAAGTTTGGAGGGGGGGTTTTTAAGGGCACGTGTTGCGGTTGGAAGCAAGAGAGGTTGCGGGAGTCGATGTGCAGAGGGCGGGGGGGAGGAATGGGGTTCTACATGCTTTATTATTATTAAATTTTTTTTGTTGTTGAGATTTCTTTAGTGGCTTTAAAAAAAACATGATGCTGAGAGATTGAAAGGGTGAAGGGAGAGGCTAGATGGCAAAAAGAAGAGGTATGTACACATTTGTACACACACACACACACACACACCCCCCCTTACCCTTGCCCCCCCCTACCCAGGAGCTGGAACATGCCCTCCCCAGCCTCACTGAGAGCGTCTTCCAGCAGAGCAGCAACCCAGACCCATCTCAGCATCCAGTTGATAGGGGTCAAATCGCCTCTGGCAGGACCAATCTGGGAGCTCTACTGCTCCCAGCTCTGCATGCCAGCCCTCATGGGGTGTCGCTGGTACCCACCTCCTTGCAGGCAGAGAGTAACACAATGCCTTGGTCTCTCAGATCCCCCCCATTGCACTAGGGCTGGGGGCAGCAGAGGCAGGGGGCTGTGGCTGCCTCTTATGGGGGCTAATCTGGGTCCAGTGTTACACTGGGAGGAAGGGAGGGAGAGGCCTGGGGTGAGGCCTGCACTCAACCAAAAGCCTCTGCCCAGCCTGACAAGGTTACTGCTGCTCCTGCTTTGCTCCAGCAGGACTGATGCTAGGACAGATGGAGACATGGGGCATGGGCTGGGATGCAGGGGCAGTGACTAGGCTATAAGGAGAGACCTAGAGAGGGCTGCCCTGTGCTGATGGATGCCTCTTGCATCAGAGTGGGGAGGGAGAAGACCTGTTCTCCTCCTGTCCTTTAACCCCCCTGGACAGTGGCCTCTGGCAGTGCTCACCAGGGGCTTTGCAGAGCTCTGCACTTGGGGCACAGGGATCCCTGCACAGAGCCCAGGAGCAACGCTTTGTGCCTGGTTCAAGCCAGGACCCAGCCTCCTGTCCCAGTTGTCTTTCTTGTGCTGTTCCCTGTTCTAGCCACCAGGAGGCAGCAAAACTACTCTGCTGCTGGTGTGTGGGCCCCCCCCCCCCAGGTTGAGGAGGAAGGGGGCTGGGCACATCCCCCTAAGCAGAACTGCTCCCTTCCCCTCTCCTTGCCACCTCCCCACATCCTCTATCCATGCATCCCCAGGCTGCTCTGTCTGAATGGCCAAGGCCTTTTGTTAACACAGATTCACACAGCCTTGCACATGCCCCTCTGCTTGCATAGATGGGGAAACTGAGTCATGCTGAGGACCACGGCAAAGCCAGATCCCAGGAGTCTGGACCTCCCACTCCCTTGCTGTAACCACTAACCCTCATGCTGTGATGGAAGAAGAACCCAGGAGTCCTGGCCCTCAAACCCCTCTGAGCCAACCTGCAGGACCCCACTCCCCTTCTCCCTCTGCACCCACAGCTGGGCAGCACCCCCCCCCCCCCCCACACCACACCATATGGGCTGGGCGGCCCCCCCCCCCCCCCAACACACACACTATTGTGGTGTATCAGTGGAGCCTGCCCTGGGTCTCAGGCCTGTGTGGCCCAGGAGATCCCAGCTGTGCTGGACACTGCCCAGGTGCAGCAAGGCAGGGCTTGACCAGGCTCCACTTGGAGTAGGAGATGGTCCATGCCCTGTCCTGGGTGCTGGGGTGCACCTCAGGAACTGGCATGGGGGCTGCTTTCTTTGCAGCAGCTCAAGGGTTAACTGGGGGGAGGTGTCCTGTTTGTGGCAGGGGAAGGGTTAATGGGGGGGGGTGAATGACCAGCACGGGTTGGGGGTTGTCCTATTTGTTTTTCTTTTCTACCTTTTTTTCCAGTGGTCTCAGGGCGAGTCTATCCCAGCCCTCCCACAACAGGAAAGTGTGTGTGTTGGGGGAGCCTGGCCCCCAGCCAGCACCCCCCTGCTTTGTTGCACCCTGCCAGGAAGACCCCCTGGGTCCTGGCAGCTGAGGCTCAGCCAAAGCAATGAGGCAGATGCTGACAAAGCACTGAGTTAGGAGACAGAAGAGTGGGGAACCTGCCCCACATCCTGCAGCCCCATGCCGGCTTAGTCTTGCCCTGGGCTTCCTCCCATCTCACACTTATGATGGCCACTCCTGCTGTTCAGCCACACGTGCCTGCTGTTCTCCATTACCTGTTGAAAACCATCCGTCCACACGTTCTCACCCTGGGCTCGGCCCAGCCCATGAAGCTGACAGCACAGGCACAAAAACACAACAGCTGCCACATTCAGCCCACGCATAGCACACATAAAAGCAACCCTGCGCCCGTGCCCGGGGCCTGCGCAGACTCCCCTGGACGTAGAGCACAGCTGCAGCGTGCGGGCCGCCTCTGTACCCCGTGCGCACTAGCACACTCCTGGAGCAACGCAGCTGTGCAGCTCTGTGGGACTTCACGTCTTTACATGATGGCAAAAGGTTGAAGCCCAGAGCAGCTGGCAGGGTTCAGGGCTTGGAGAGGCAGAATGGGTCTCCCAGGGGGCTAGTGACAAGCCTGGTGACTGTCCTGGCAACTGCTCTTTGGGGAAAGCAGTGTTTCTAGCCTGCAGGAAACCCTGGCGTTTGGAGCTTAGCACCTGCCCCAGATTGAACGCCTCCCAAAAGATTTTGCAGAACAAGCAGAGTGTGCTGGTGATCTCCTGTGGTCCCCAGTGTGGCCAGGTCCATGCAAGGGCCCGAGCTCCCCCATTACCACTGCTCTTCTTTATTCAGAAAACATATCAAAGCTGAGGCATGAAAGAGCCCTTGGTCACAGGCACAGCTGACACTCCCCCCCCCCACTTCAGCCCCAAGTGCCGAGGGCAAGGGGCCCCCACTGTGCTGTGGAGAGGCCAAGGCTACCAGGCCAAATCGCAGGGCGTGATTGCTCCTTGCTGGATTTCTTACATCCCTTAAATGAATGCTCAGCTCCTTTCAGGGCCAAACCAATGCTCACCACTGGGGCCACACAGCCTCCCCTAGCCGCCTCTGTCAGGGTGGAGATTAGGAACAAAAAAGGAACAAAAAAGAATTGCCTCAGACCAGCCATCTCACCCCAGAGAGCAGATGTGGAAAGGGAGAAGGAACTGGGTATGAGTAGGGTTTTTTTCCACTGTTCCTCACTCAGTTGCAGCCACCAGCATTTAGGGTCTAGGAAGAGCTGATTCAGAGGCTGTATCCTTAACTCCCATGCTCAATAGCTAGTGGTGTCCTTTTCTTCCAGGAATTTGTCTAATCCCTTTTTACATCTGGCTAAACTGTCAGCTTCCACAACACCTAGCGTCAATGAGTGCCACACCAGAATGACACACGGTGTGAAAAAGTACTTCTTTATGTTCGTTTTAAACTTACCACCTACTAGTTTCATTTTGTGATCTCTAGTTCTTGTATTATTGCAGCTTCTAGGGCCTAGAACAAGCCCCCAGCTCCACCTCTCTTCCTGTGGCCTGGGCTGGAGACAGCAAAGCCAGGTCCCAGCACAACACAATGAGGTCCCCCGCTTGGTGAGGTGTCCATGCATGGGCTGGGAACCACAGGTCATCTTGTTGCAAGGCACAAGACCGGCCCTGCCAGCAGGGGCACTACCAGGCAGTAGAGACTGCAGGGTCCTACAGGTGCTTGTTGCTTTGTCTGAAGGTCACTGTGGAGAGACTGAAACAGCAGCATCCCTGGCCCTTGGGGGCTGAGAACCGACACAGCTCATCTTGATGGCGCTTGGCTCTGTCCCTCTAGCCAGTCAGGTCAGGAGCGTGGAGCGAGGAGGGAGCTGGGCCCTAGATGGTGAGATCATCCCTGCTCACGGAGGGGGAGGCCTTACTGCGTGGGATAGGGTCTTTGGGCTGGATCGGGGCTGCAGCCTTGTAGTGCTCGGGGGCACTGCTGCAGGGTGACCCCTGGGTGCTCCTACTCTCAGGGGGCAGGAAGCACTGGGCCTGTTCCTGGGCCTGGTTAGACCAGTTGTCCTGCTGTTCAGTGGCGGCAGCAGTGGCACCAGCTGGGTTCGAGGGGCTGGCGGACTCCCGTCGCTGGCACCGGCCCTTGTACAGAAGGTGGGCCAGCTCCACCAGGCTGAGCCCCGCAGATGCCATTCCCACCACAAAGTAAAAGTGGATGAAGATGGTCTTCTCGGTGGGCCGGGACACAAAGCAATCCACACGGTGGGGGCAGGGTGCACGCTGGCACACGTATGTGGTCTCTACCTCGAAGCCATAGAGCTGCCACTGCCCCAGCAGGAAGCTGACTTCAGCCAGGATCCGTGTGATGACATTGGCCACGTAGACGGCCCGGATATGGCGGCGCCGCTGGGTGGGCTGTGGCCCCGCACCACACTGGGAGCCGCCCTTCCCAGTCCTGGCCATTTTGGCAGTCTGGTGCATGGAGTAGATGACAAAGAGCACAGCGGGGGCCGAGAGGACCACCACATGGAAGACTAGGAAGCGGTAGTGGGAGACGGGGAAGGCCCGGTCATAGCAGACCTGCTTGCAGCCTGGCTGCCGCGTGTTGCACACGAACTCCTCCTGCTCGTCCTCGAATACATCCCCGCCCACCGTGGCCAGGATCAGGATGCGGAAGATCAGCATCACCCCCAGCCAGAAGCGCCCCACCATGGGCGAGTGCTCCTGCACTGTATCCAGCAGCGAGCTCAGGAAGCCCCACTCCCCCATGGCTGGGGGTGCCTCTGGTGGTGCTGCCGCCGCTGCTGCTGCACTGGGGAGAGCACAAGGTACACCCATCAGCTGCTTGCCTTCCAGGACTGAGGGGTTGCAGGGGGGAACCCAGATCTCCATGCATCTGGGGCAGGAGCTGCAAAATGGGGCCCTTTATTGCCCCTAGCATCTGGAGCTTGTAGGAGCAGGGTTGGGGGGGCTTCAGCTGCTCTCAGGATATTCTGGAGCCCACCGGGGGTGTTTTGAGATGGGCCGTACCCATCTCTATGAGGGTTCATCCCCACCCACAGCATCCCACAGCCCACTGAGTGTGGCAGTGAGTGTTTTGTCTCCAGCAAACACCCCAGTGCCAACAGCAACCTGGAGAGCAGGCCTGGCATTTGCATTTTCCAACCCTGCTCTCCTGTGCCCAGCCTGTCTGCATGGCCCAGGGTTCCAGCCTGGTGATGGTAGGACAGGCTCTGGCCAGCTGCTTGCTTCTCTAGGGGGCTTTGCCTATGGCTGGGAAGCTACCCTGATGAGACCCACTCTTCCAGAGCAGGGGCAGGAAGCAAGGCCCTCGGGGGCCAGTGAGACCTTTCCAGTTCCTGGCTTCCCCAGCCCATGCACAGAGCAGGCGGTCTCCTGCCTCTGCTCCCCAGAGGGCATCGCTGGTGTTGCCAGCATCAGGGCACATCTGCCCTTGGCTAGCCCAAACTTCAGCCCTGCCCCTTGCCCAGCAGAGAGTGAACCTGCTGGTCTCAAGGCAACAGGAACAACCCTTAGGAAGCAAAGCTCCTACCACAGTTTAAAGCCAGAAGACTGGACTCAGATGTACTGCAGGGGGAGGAGGGGTGTCCAGAAGGGCAGGTGAAACAGGGCCTGGCTTCCACCACTGTCACCCTCTGGGGCAGAACTGGCCCCCTCCCCCTGGGTGCTCATGAGAGAAGCCCAAGTACAGGGCTCTGGACTATGGTTGTGGGGAGGGGTAGCAGAGTTTCCCCCTCCATGTGACCAATCCCATCACTTGCCCCATACCCTCTTCCCTCCCCCAGTCCACCCCCCCAGGGCCTGGTCCCAGCACAGAAGGGCAGGGGCTGGCATCTGTTACCTGGAGGCTGGCGCAGTCTCACCTTCCCGGGGCTGGTGCAGGGGCTGCTCATGGGTGCCTGGCTGGTCTCAGGCTGATCGGGGCACTCGCATTGTCCTGTCCCTGTCCCCCGGCTGGGCTGGGCTGGGCTGTCCATGGCTTTTCCTGGCTGCTCCGCCTGGAGCCTTTTAAAGAGACAGTGCAGTCCTCACAGCCCAGCCCTGAGCATTCCCCCCACCCAGGGGAGATGGGGGGAAACCCAGACATTCCCTCCGAGACAGCTTCCAGGCTGGCATGGCGGGTGCATGGGCACAGAGGGCACAGACCCTGCAGCCTGAATCCCCTCATGGGGCCCTGGTAGCCCAGCCCAAGGCCACAGGCTTTCCTAGTGGCAGGG